CTTCTTGTTCAGAATATGATTTCTTTTCCTTTGTTGATTAGAATAGAATTTCTTCATTCTTTTTAGATTATGATTTATTTCCTTTTTAGGATTTTAGTTTTCTTTCTGTAGGACATAAAACCATACAAGATACTCATGCTGTAGTCAAGAAAGAAAGAAGAAATCCTATTCTAGTCATGAAAGAAAAATAAATTGTATTCTAAATAAAGAAGAAGAAAAAGAGATAAAAATATTACAAGAAGAAATCCTATTTGGAATAGGATTGTCCTGCATCATGGAATACTAATGAACAAACACAGCAGATGAACAGAAAGAAGCATACGCTTGTTCGTAAATTTGTCAAGCAGTGAAACCAAAATAAACAAGAGGATAAAAGCAAGTAAGTTTAAGAAGGATATAACACAATATATCTGATTTCTGGCATACCATCCGAAGAGAAGCTACAACTGAAGCAGTTTCTGAAACTGGATTGGGTATAGTAGCAGAAGGAAGCTGTGTGCTTGGAAAAGGAGAGACGGAATCGCCAGCAACAGCAGCCTTATCAGTAACATCATGGCCAGTGTCTGCCATGAGAGGAAGCTCAGGCTCTTCTGCAGCCTGAAGAACAAGAGAGTTTACATGAATGCAAATACACGTGTACAAATAACAAAGAGATGATGGTGAGTGCAAACTTAATACAATTATGTAGCATTCAATAAGAGTGCGTCGTCATCAAAATAAGCCTATCTTATAAAACACTATACTTTATAATCATGCTCATTAAAAAGCAAGAGTGCACTGTCAGCAAAATAAGCCTATCTTGCACAGAAATGCAATGTGGTACAATAACATCTTCACAATATTCAAGGGTCATTCTTTGACACATCTGTCGACAGAAAGACAGGAAAGTAGGACTTCTTTTTATTTCTTATATTTTTCCTTTTTTTTCAGTGGGGGAGGAGGGGAGAAGCTGACCTTCGCAGCCTTCCGGGCATCAGATATTCTTTTCGCCTCAGCAAGAACCTACAAACAGAAAAATCTGAGTCACATATACATGTAATGGAAAACAAATATGTTCTTCCCTTATCATCTGCTAAGGTCACTAGGGTGATACAGAAACTGAATTCAAACCTCAACATCTCTGCGCTCCTGCTGCTTCGAGTGAGAGAGCACCATCGACAATGCACGTTTTCGTTCAATCTCTTGAGAAAGATTATAAGGTTCCTGGATTATTTGAAAATTCTATAATATCAAAGTGATTGCCAGAACATGCACATTCCAGACTAAAAAGCTGAACTTATTCTCACACAAGAGGCTGGATTTTAAGCATCAAGAAACAGTGGCACAAGGGGATAATGCCATACCTTAACAAGTGAGTGCCCAACAACATCACCAGGAGACGGAGCCCTAGCAACCAAGATAGCTCTAGATACTGCACACTCAAAATCAAGATAAACACCAGCACTTCTCAAAAATCACATGATTAAATAACACAAATTATTCAGTCATCTCTATCTCCCCCGTCTCTCAGAAATGAGTGTGTGCCCATGTAAAGATGTGCAGCCTATTACGAATGTCAGAGAATCCAGAAGAGAAGGAACAAATCAGAAAGAGAGATACCACTGTAAAACCGATTCTTCAGTTCTTCCACAGTTCTTGATGATGGAAATCTATCAGCAATCACAATGAAGCGGAGATCAAACTGTTCACACATATCAAACAATCGATCTGTCTCTTCCTTGGTCCATGCCTATTGAAAGTAAACAGAGCGGTAAGGACCTAAGAAGTGTGATAACACATGAAAAGGGATTGGCATAAGATAAAAACTGAGAAAGGTAGAACATTTAGTACAATAATGCTGAGAGAGCAATCATATGGGCCAATATCCCACCAGATTCCACTTTAAATCTAGTGACAAGTATGAATTCATGTCCAAAATGAATCATTTGCATAGTGGGGTTGACGTATTGAAAGTATTTGCTAGAACAATTACTACGAACAGTGCTGCAGGGTCTATCATATTGGGTCATGTTCACTGCAGATGGTAATTTAATTCTAGTGACATTTTTCAACGTACAAATAAATCACTTCCATGAGGGGGTTTTCATGCAGAGAGTATTTTAAGAGTTTCAATTATAAATACCACAAACGTGTGCTATGCATCCTTTATTTCACTCTAAAACTCAATCAACAAAAATCCCGTGACCACCATACTAGCAAAGTTCAATTCTGAACACATACAGGATCCACCAGGTACTTGTCGTACTCCTCGTCAGTGTACTTGATCACGTCAACAGACTGCATTACACCAAATAAATTAACAGAGTTCAGTGACACTAGAAATAGAGAAGGGGATGTAAATTATGAACTAATATAAGGATGATCCTCCCATAGGCATAATTTTTGTTCTTGTACCTTGTTATACTTAGCAAATGAATAATCACCTGTAGGCGGAACACCATTTACAACTCTAACCTACAAACGCAAGACCTCAAAATTTTGTTAAGGTTGTATGTCTTAACTCTTCCAGAAATGATCCTACAATTGATTGAAACATACCCAGTGGTAAAGCTGTAAGTCGTCTTTCCTAGCAGAATTTGTAAAGGGAAGCCATTTCCATGTAATCTGTAAAAAAAATTTACATTTAATAATAGCCAATAGCTGATTGCAATTAAACACAGACAACACACTAACCTTCTCATTCTCAGATTGTGCTTTTCGTTTCAATTGATTCACATCAACGGAAGGCATGAGAGGTGCTAAGCCGCCCGTAAGTGCATAAACCTACAATATTTCCCACAATTATATCCGCATCCCAAAAAGTTCCATACATGCGCATAACAAAAGGTTAAAAAACGCTATAACACCTCGCGTGAAATTCCATCAGGTTTTCTTTGAGTTTCTTTCGGAGGTTTAGACTTCTTCTCTTGTATTGGCAACGCATTTTTGGGTAATCCCAAAATATCCTTAGCATCCATTTAAAAATTTAATTTTCCCCACCAAAACTAACTAGGGTTGCTTCACAGTCTCTCGTATCAACAATATAACGCGAAAGGATAAGGAAGAAACAGAATACAGTTGTATAAGAACAGGTAAATTGGGAAAATTAGGGTTGAGAAGAAAGGGGAAAATTGGGGCTTTTTTCAGCCAAAAAAAATAAAAAAATCGAAAAAGAAAAAGAAAAAGAAAAAACGCAGGATCCTCTCTAATCATATTCTCTCCAGTTTCTTCCAATTTAAACGGTAGAGCACACCGGCGATCTAATAAACGCACTTTATATCAAAATAAACAGCTCCCTCGGCCCAACAAGACATTAAACCAACCACCATATTAGGCTAGGCTCAATTCTTTTCGGGCCCAAGCCCTTAACAACAATATTGGGAATTGTTTTGTGTGATTGAAAATTTTAAATAATAATAATAATAGTTTGATTTCTATTTTGTCCTCTATCTATCAAAATTCTTCAAAACAATCCCCATGTTAATTAGATTAAGAGATTATAGAAAACGTGTATTAACCAATTGCTTTAAAATTCAAGAAAAAAAGATGCAGTGGGATGAATTGTTTATAAATGTCTTGAAATTTTGCAACTTATCGAAATTTTCATATGCACTAAATCCTATCACGTAGAGACCGATTATTGATTATATAATGAAAATTATTAGTTGATTGCAAAATATGTGGGGAAGTATTCTAAAATATTGATTGTCAAAATCCAAACGAAAAAGTATTGTACATAGTCTATGGAGTATGGACGTAACTATGCATCAAGAGAAATGCTATTTATACACCGGAGTGTCACATCACCTTCACAAGAGGGGGCCCACAACCAATAAAAAAGTCATGAACCTCCCTCCTTGTGAGGGGAGCTATACACCGAGGTGTCAATCCGGTGTACAAGTAGCATAACATATGCATTAAAGACAATATCCTTATTAAGAACATCAAGAATTATTTCACGAAAAGACGTAAGTAGGAATGACATAACTATTAAAACAAGAGATACGACTCTTGGATCAGAATTCTTCTGAAACATAACCGTTAAAACTGATTTTTATCTTCATTTGAACAATTTTTCGGTTCGTACTTTTTCATTTGGAGTGATTATATCTATGCTTGTCATTATATTTTTATTTGAAGATAATTCAAAAACTTATCAGAATAAATTAAAAAAAAAGTGCAAAAAAAAGTCCATATAAACCTATACCATTAACACAAACAGAAATTATATCGAGAAATGTTAAAATTGTGATTATTCATAAAAATGAGATTGAACAGTTTGAACTTGTGGCTAGCTCACATAGTTGTTCATGTTAATAGGTTGGATATGTCAATTTCTAATTGGAAGAACCCCCCCCCCCCCCCC